CTGCTTACTTCCAGATCAGGAACATATTATCCTCTGTTTTCTACTTTAAAAAGATCACTGTTTTAGCTCTTATATGTAGGTTTATAATCTACCTCAATTTAATTTACATGTATGTATAAGATTTGGTTCAAAATTTATCCTTTTTTTCTATATGGCTATTCAGTTGTTCTAGCACCGTTTGTTAAACAAACTTCTCTGCTTCCTCAGGTTTGCTTGGCATCTTTGTATGAGATCAACTGACTGTGTAAGTTTAGCTCTATTTTTGGACCCTGTTCCATTGGTCTGGTCCACTGATCCTTGGGTGTGATTACTGTAGCTTTGTAAATCTTGAAGTCAGGCAGTAAAACTCTTCTAGATTTGCTCTTCTCTTCTAAGATTGTTTTGGTATTCTAGATTCCTTGCATTTCCATATAAATTTTAGAGTGACCTTGTAAATTTCTCTTTTTTAAGGAACAGCCTGCTGGAATTATCGCTGAGGAGGCATTGGCTCTATAAATCAATATGCAAAGAAGTGGCAACGCTATTGAGTTTCTGCCCCATGAAAATGACATATCCCTCCATTTGCTTAGGTCTTCCTTAATTTCTCTCAGTCATGTTTTATGGTTTTCAACATAGATATTTTGCACGTCTTTTATTAAATTTATTCCTGAGCATTTTATTTATTTTTGACACTATTGTAAATGGATTAAAATTTTCCCCAATTACTCGCTGCTAGTATATAGAAATTTGATTTTATTTGTTTATTTTGTATCCTGACACCTTGCTAAACTTCTGTTTTAATTCTAGTAGTTTTTTAATTTTAATTTCTTAGGACTTTCTATGTAAACAAGCATGTTGTCTGCAAATAGAGAATGTTTTACTTCTCTGTCTCTGATGTTTGTGTCTTCTCTTTCTTCTTCTTGACTTTGTGCTGGTTAGGACCTCTGGCACAGCGTCTAATGGAAGTAGTGAGAGCAGCCACCCTTGCCTTGTTCCCAGTCTTAGTGGGAAACTGGAGTTCAGCTAATTTGATGTTAGCTGGAGGTTTTTCATAGATGCCTTTCATCAGATTGACGTTTCTTTCTACTCCAGTTTTCTAGGAATTTTTTTATTGTAAATGGATGTTGAATCTTGCTAATTGCTTTTTCTTTATCTCCTGAGATGACGGTATTGCCTTTCTCCTTTATTCTGTTAATATGATGGCTTACACTGACTGATTTCAAATGCAAAACTAATTTTTATTCCTAGACTGAACCTCACTTTGGCATTACACATTACCCTTTATGTATATTGCCGGATTTGATCTGTTAATATTTTTTTTGAGGACGTTTGCATTTATCCACGAGGAATGTCAGTCTATAGTTTTCTTGTAATAAGGGCTACATTTTTATAAATAAGTAATATGGAAGTGACTGGGCCTGCGGGAGAGTATACTGAGGTTGGTGTACTTTTTGGTGATCTCAGATTATACTGGTAAACAATCACCCACTGTATGCTAAGACATTTTATTTGTTTAAACATTTTTATAAAACTGTAGTTGGTGTAGTGTCTTAGGTGATTTGAATGACTCAATCCAATTGACTACACAGCAGATTTGATAAACAAGGAACAAAAATGTCACTAAATTGGCAGAAGAAAAGGCTCAGCCACATAGGTAGGTAGATAGATGTACCCCCCCAACTCCATCTCTTTATCATTTTCTTGCATTTAGATTTATAAATGTCAAAATGAGGAAAATCAACATACTGGGATTGGAAGAGAAAGTTTGGGGGTCATCTCAGTAATCCTTATGCATAGAAGCATCTAAACCACTGGCAAATTCTGGCTGGCAGGTCCTTATTAGTGACAAGTCTCGATGGGGTTTTTTTTGTTTGTTTGTTTTGACAGTTCTGGTTTAGTTTTCATTTGAAGACCTCCTTTTAAAGGCCACTGTCTCACATCACTATCTTAACTGGCAGGGGTGGAATATTTACACCTAGCTAAGAATGATCAGAAGGGTAAAAACAAACAGATTGATGGGAAAGAGACAAGATAAGTGTCTCACATTGTTTTCAGATGTGAAGACAGTAGGCAGGTTATGGCTCTAATGTGTTAAAAATACATATATTTTGACAACAATGACACAAAATCTTTGAAGAGGGCTGCTTCCTAAGACAAAAAGCAACTTTGTCCTTACTCAAGAATAATTTTGAAATCAGAGATATGGACAAAGACATATGTACAAGGCTGTGCTCTGAGAATATAATTATAACAGCAAATTTTCTAACAGTAGCAGAACTGTTAAATATATAATTATGAGCTATATGATAGGATGTAATGCAGCCACTGAAAGTCATATTCACAAAGTATATGCAGTGTCAGAGAAAGTACCTGTGATAAAATGTAACCAAAACAATCCATTCATCCAAACACATACATTCAAATATGGTGGGCTCAGTGAGAAATAATTAACTTTAATTAAAGAACTGAAAGTAGTTAAAATGAACACCTCTCAGATACTAGATATTTGCATGGAATAAATGCTATAAGGGAATTACCAAACTGGTAAAGGAGATTATCTCTGTGTAATAAGAATATATGTAATTTTGTTTTTCTTATTGTTTTCTGTACTTTTGAATTCTTTCTTAAAATCCTTATTATTTTTCTAATAAGAAAATTTTTTTGTAGTTTGTTTTATTATTTATTTGTTTGTTTATTAATTTTTTAACAGAGGTACTGGGGATTGAACCCAGGACTTCGTGCATGCTAGACGTGCGCTCTGTCACTGAGCTATATACCCTCCCCCCAAAAAAAATTTTAAAAAAGATTTTTTTTAACTTGGCTTCTGAACTGTGTCACATGTCATATGTGGTACAAGGGAATAATTTTTCACTAGGCTTTAGAGACGTCCTAGTGAAACAGCCAGGGATTTAAGATCAAGGGAAGCTGTGTTTCAGTGCAGACGACTTATTCGGTCTCTTAGTATTTCGGTGATAGTTCCCGCGAGCCAAGTTTGGGTTTTGAAGGAAGGTTCAAGCAGCCACATGCTAAGAGCTTGACCACTCTGGTTGCTGGCACGCAGGGCCGCCAGCTTCCCCGCTCCCAGTCCTCTGAACACTGCAAACTGTCAGTTCCCCAGACACTCTGCACTGTTGGTAACTTTGTAAGCAGGCTGCTGTGCAGAAGACCTGTGCCCCTGATAAATCCCGGGTACTGTTTTGCCCACAGGCCAAGCATATGCTAGACAACCAGCTCATTTTGAAGCCTGCTATCTGGACAGTATCTATAAAGAGGACGCAGGAGTGAGGAAGGGACTGGGGGCTTGGCAGTGGAAGACTTAGATTTCAGTATCCGCGTGGCATCAGGCAAATGCCTAACTGGCCAGGGCTTCCCTCAGCTCCTCTATGAATGGGTATGTTAAATAACCTTTCCTGTAATTCTGGGGCAGAATTGTGAATTTCAAAAAGTTTATGTGTGATATTGATGAACAGAGTCTGTATTTTAGATAGAAAGGAAACAGTCCCAGAACAGACAACACAACACTGAAGGAGAAGAACGAAGTCAGAGGACCAGCACTTCCTGATTTCAAGACTTACTATAAAAACTAAGTAACTAAGACAGTTTGATACTGTACTGGAGAAAGAATAGACAAGTAGATCACTGGAAAAGAACACACAGCCCAGAAATAGACCTGCACAGATAGAGGCAACAGATCTTTGACAAAAGGGCATAGTAAATACCATGGAGAATGGAGAGTCTTTTCAGCAAATGGTCCCGGAACAACTAGATATCTACATGCAAAAAAAAAAAGAAAAAAAAAAGAAAGAAAGGAAAAGAAAAAGAACCCTTAAACAGACCTTAATCCTTCACAAAAATTAACTCAAAATGGATCCTAGACCTAAGTGAAAAGTTACAACTTTTGGAAAATAACATAGGACAAAATCTAGGTGACCTGGAGTTTGATAACAGCTTTTTAGATACAGTAACAAAAGTAGGATCCATGAAAGAAAAAAGTGGATAGACTGGACTTCATCAAAATTAAAACTTCTCCTCTGTGAAAGACACTGTTAAGAAAATGAAAAGACAAGCCTCGGGCGGGGAGAAAGTATTTGCCAAATGCATATCTGATAAAAGACTGTTATCCAAATTATACAAGTGATTCTTAACATTCAACAATAAGAAAAGAAACAACTCAAAAATGTGCAAAAGCTCTGAACAGACACCTCACCGAAGAATATGTACAAATGGCACATAGCATGACATGGAAACAATGGGAAATTTCATATATTTCTGGTGGAAGTACAAATGGTACAGCCACTTTGGAAGACAGCTTGGCAGTTTTTTTACAAAACTAAACATACTCTTAACATATTATCCAGCTAGCATGATCTTTGGCATTTATCCAAAGGAGTTGAAAATATATGTGCTTACAAGAACCTGCATGCAAATATTTATAGCAGCTTTATTCATAAATGCCGAAACTTAGATGAGTACAGGAATCTTTCCTATCTTTTCTACAACCATATCAGCAGTGACTAGAATGGTAGCTGATACGTAGAAGCAGCTCAATAAATACTTGGTGAATGAACAGATGCATGAATATAAATGGAATGAAATTGTTAACAATATAAGTGCCACTTATCCAATCAATTAATAGTCCAATCACTTACTAATATAAGCACCATTAATCCAATCAATTAATACTTCATTATTGGAATTGTTCTAGCACCACTGGAATGAGAAAGACAGCTCAAGAGTAAGGATGTATTAAGGCTCATCCAGTACATTCCAAAGGAGAGAGCGTGACCATATCTGGTGGGCACAGATTTTCCCACCACTCTTCTTTCTGCAGAGCAGGGTGGCTTCAGCAGGCCTTGGTGGCCTGAATGAAATCCCTCGAGACCATCCAAGCTGTAAACTCCGATTATTTGCCCGCTGAGAAGTCTTTTTGACCATTGATATGGGTGTCCAGGGACTCCATACTATGGATGGATTCCTTGGAAATACTTCCAGTCACTAGAAGAAGATGGCCACCACTGTAAATTAATAAATCAATATTCTTGTGGTATGTAGGAAAGATCATATGAGTGCCCAAATCTCTCATTTTTCAGGGGAGGACCAGAAAAGTCCTGCCTGAGGTGCCAGTTAAGAAGGGGGCTTTCAGACTCAGGGTTCTGCACCTGTTCACCTCTCAGACCCTCCTGCATCTGTCTCTGAACTATAGTGTGCAGGTGGGGTTTCTAAGGCAGCTGCCGCCCCAGATCGGTGGCTCTGGTTACCTGACCCCATCCCCAGGTGAGCTTCTGGGTGATAAGCTGACTAGGCTCTCCTGTGTGGGGCCCTCAGGCCGGATGAAGTCCAGAAGTTCCAAGTAACCCACTGACAGGGCGTTGCTGTATCTCAAACATGAAATAACCCATTTCTTCACTTTCCCCCCAAATCCTGGCTACAAGTACTATATCTGTAGCTGTATGAGGAGGATAGGAAATTGCTCTCAACTATCCTAAAATGGTTTGGGAGTTAAGATTACCCTGCAGCCTCCACAAATGAGGTGAGGAACAGAAACTGTGAGTGCAGTGGCCCGACTGTCACTTCTGCTAATTATCCAGTTACGGTGGCTTTCTCCCTGCACCCTTCTTATCAGGGACAGGGACTGCAGAACACCTAAATATTTCACTGCTTCCATGTAGGTGTGGCTCTAGGACTGACATGTGTTATAAATGTCTGCAGCCTCCTGGAACTCTCCTGGGAAGACACCCGAGGCAGCTTCCTGTGTGGGTTCCATCCCAAGGGAACGTCTGAGTGTGAGACCTGCCTGAGGAGGTCTAGAATGGGACACTCTGGGGTGGCGTCTGAGCCGTCATCTTTGAAGGGATGAGAATACCAGCAGGTTGGGGGAAAGGTGGTGAGAAGCCCAGATGCTTGCTGTGAAAAGCACTGAGATGTTTACAACTTAACTTTATTGGTTGCCCAAGGCACGGAATATGGGTGCACTTGTCCCACCTACAGATCTAAGACTGGTTCAACCTCAAACACCCTCTTCCTGGCAAGGCAGTTGTGAGACATCCCTGGGCTCTCCCTGTCAACGTCTGTGATGCACTGTGAGGCGTTAAGGCTGGTGCTGGTTCCCAGGATCACTTTTGGGTAAAGCCCTCTCCGCTGCGTCAGGTGATGGAGCTGGTCCTGGCTCTGGTAGGAACATAGCTCCTACTCCACTGCATCCGTCTCAAACTGTGGAGACCACGTGAGTTAAGGAGAGTGGCATCTGCTTAGGCCAGGCACAGCTGGAAGGGTTGACTAATTACGGCAAGTCTTCAGAGATGGGGATAATTAGTGATGAAATAGATCAGAGAAAGGAAGGTCCTTAAAGAGTATCTCAAACAGTGTTAGCGGTTTGATGCTCACTCTTTTTTTTTAATTTAACAGAGATGCTGGGGATCAAACTCATGACCTCGTGCATACTAAGCATGTGCTCTACTACTCAGCTACACCCTCCCCCCTTGACACTCACTCTTGCTGATAAGCTTCTTGGGAGACTGACCAACCCCAGATAAACTGATAAAATATATTTTGTGGGTATCTAGAGCTAGGACCATACCGGGAACACTTCCTGTGCCACCATCAACATCCTGCCCTTTGAAAGTCTTCCTGTCCGCCTAATGGCGTTCCTGGTTAGCAACGTGGATATTTCCTGTTTTCTTCCTGAGAAAATTTTGAAATTTCCTTTGATATTTTAGGACAATATTTTAAGAATGTTATCTTTGGCCAGTCTTATATTTACTATCGAAGGGTACTTGAAAACTGACCTTGGGAGAAGGAAAAAGATCACCATTGAAGGCACCAGGCATAGACCTAGAAGAGCAGGAAAAAATCAGAAAGCTTGAGAAACTCTCCATAAGCAAAGATAAAAATACACATACTATCTCAAAGCTAAGAACCCAAGAGGGCAGCTGAAAGAACAGCTTCACGCAAGGCTTAGAGAGTATAAAGTAGTAGTGGGGGTGTTGTGGGGAGGATGGTTACAAGCAAAACCACAAATTGAAGGCTTGGGCATATGACTGGCTATTCTAATAAAGGTTGTGGGTGGAAGGGACATTGTAGTAGGATGTTTCCATAAGCTGAAGAAATGATGCTCTGTGGGCTTCAAGAGAATTGCCTAGCAAAGGCAGATGATCTCAACCATCAATTAATTAAAAGTTAGGAGTGAGTGTAACTGTGGCTGAGCCCATGCCCAAGTAAAAATGCATTAGGATTGAATTAGAACAGTGAATCGGCATCACCTGGAGGGCTTATTAAACCCTAGATTATCCCCAGAGTTCTTGATTCAGTAGGTGTGGAATGGAGCCTGAGAATCTACATTTATGACAGGTTCCTAGGTGATGTGATGTCCCTGGTCTTGGACCACTCACTGAGAAGGACTGATTCAAATGGAAAAAGTCTTACAACAAATGTGTTCTTGACTTACGCCCTCACATTCCACAGGAGTGAGGAATTTTTCATTTTGTGCACATGTATCAGAATTAAAAATCATATTACAAAAAAGGTGAAATAAAATGCTTTTTCTAACTATAAGGAGATTATTTCTTTTTATGATTTAAATCATGGAAGAAGTTCAAAGTACATAATAATGATGGATAGAATTACATATATAAAAATGTAAAACTGTGAAGTAATGGAATTTCACAAAATTAAAACAGAGATGTAACAGAATAAGAAAAATATTTGCTGTAAATGCTTTCCATAAATATGGCTGGATATTTGAGGTTTAAAATATATTGAGTCATTCAAACCAGGTTCCCAGTGGAGACATAGTCTGGGACACACACAGGCAGTTTATACATCAGGAAAGCCAACATAAACCAATGTTGGAACACTAAACCTCAAAAGTAATTAAAGAAATCCAACTGAAAACAATTATAAGGAACCATTTAACACATATTAGATAACAGTACAGGGATAAATGATAACATTAGTACCTGTGAGACTAGTGGGAGATGGTTGTTGGTGGAAGTGTAAATTGGTTTTTTTTTTTTTTAGTAAGAGCCATAAAAGTAATCATACCAGAAAATGTATTCCATATAACTAATTCATAAGAACAAACCTATAATTATAAAAATATGTATAGCAGAATTATTTATAGTAGCTAACAAATGAAATTACCAGAATATTCAATAGTAGGGAAATAGTGAAACAAATAATGTTATATTGACCTAATATTCAGTCGTTAAAAATGAAACGGCATAATGATTCTGCCCACAAAGGGAGGTGCACACTGCATTGAAATGTTAGAGAGAAAAAGCACTGGGTTTGGAGTCAAGAAGCCTGAAATTAAGTGACCGTCGGCTAAGGAGTCAAGCTTTCCAAACTGTGTATTTAGTCTTCTACCAATGCAGTCTGTTTTTCCAACTCAGCAGTTTTCAAACATTTTGGCCACTATCAAAATTAAGAAATGTTCCATTCTGATCCACTATTCTCCATTTCATTACTTTCCACTCCACTTTAAAATGCCAATCACTGAACTGGTTTAAAACTCACAAACCTGTCACAACCAGCAGTTCATAAAACACCAGGCTAATTTATAAGTGTGCTCGAAGTTTATGTACAGACTCCCTCTCTCCCACTCTTCCCTCTAACATCCCCACCCTTCCCCAGCCACATACACATCCATGATACACTCAGAGGAAGTTCCAATAAAGGCTATGGCCTGAATACATCCATAGTTGGCATGCCACTTTTATGCCCCTCTAGGTATTGGGCACATATATCAGGAGGTAGAGTGATTTTTAATGCAACTGTACTGGGTAACTTGCTTCTCAGATGGTGTTAACAGCTCATTTCATCTCTACAACTCAGCAGGGCATTAAGGGAATAGGCTAGACCTTGGTATCTATTTCTGTGTTCTCTCCTTCCTCAACCAGTATCCCCAAGTTCTCACCTGGGTTCCTGCCAAAGGAGCCCATACACAAAGATCAATAGACAACTGGGAAAGAGCACTAGTTTTTAAAGCTGGCACGACAAGAACCTAATACTCTAATGCAAAGGTCTGGTAAAAGCTGAATGGGGGACCGTGAGCCTACGTCAAAGGGGGGGGGGGTCCTCTCTCCAAACTCATATCCAAAGGTGAGAGCTGCACACTCAGGGCACCAGAGGTGAGAGAGCTGACCAGATTCCCCAAGGGCTCCGTTCACCAATTTCACTGCAAGAAGTGATGGGGAAGGATGTCTGGGCATGCCTGCCCGGTCTGCTCACCCATGGCAGGGGGCTGCGCCCAGTATGAGTGCTGACCTTCCCCCCGCTTGCGTACATGACCCCGCCCTCTAGTGTAACGTTCCTACATAACCCCACCCTCCAGTGTGACTTCCCTACATAACCCTACCCTCCAGAGTAACGTTCGTGCATAACCCGCCCTCTACTGTGATATTCATATATAACCCCGCCCTCTAGAGTAACGTTTTACATAACCCCGCCCCCTAGTGTAACTTATGAGTGATAGATGGCTGGCCAATCAAATGTGAGATTCCTCCTTCCTTTGGGAGGAGCTAGTTTGGAGGAAGAAAGGCCAGAGTGGGCGGGAGTTCTCACTTACATGGGCCGATACAAAAACATGGGACAAAGAACAGAAACGTCCCCTCTTGAAATCTTCAACACAAAATAAGCAAGGAGGTTACTATGGCCCCATTAGCCTCATTTCACCGATGAAGAAATGAAGGATCAGAAATTTAACTGATTGAGTCACTATCATAAAGCTAGTGATACTCGTACTGACCTAATGATGCTTCTTCCAGTTAGTGGTGCTAAATGTGCGAGGGTGGCGGACGTCCCGAATCTCTGATTCCTGTCACTCCGCGCGCTTACCAGCTTCCTGCTGGTCTAGTCCATGGGATGCCCCGAGCATGTGCGGACAAGGAGTCCTGCTGTTGCACACTGTTCCTATGGGGCGGGGTAGGGGTCACCTAACCAGGTGGGCCGGGAGATCACATGGGAGCCTTTTTGTCTCTTTAACCCCAGAGCTAGACTAGAGGCTGGTCTACACCCGTGCTTCCTCTCTTCAGGGCCCCATTCCTCTCCAGAGTGAGCCCCTGACTCTTTTTCCTCCAAGACCAGAGGAGAGAAAGTGAAGACGCTTCTCTCCTGAAGACATATGCAGTTTGGGAGCATGTGCCATCGTCCCTCTGACCCAGTACCTTGATTTCTGTTCGGGGCAGCTCCCGTGCTTGAAGGGAAGCTGACCACACATTCAATTCCAAGGACGGACCTTGACCGACTTAAGGTGATCAGTAGGTCCCATTCCTCCCCCATCACCATGACTGGTTCAGGGATGAACATCTGACCTAATTAGAGTCAATCAAAACAAAGACACATTTTCTGATGGATTCTAAGGAAAATGGCTTCATTCTTCCTTTGAAACTACTTGAAAGACTTTCTCTTTTGGATTTGAACAAGTCCTTCACCCTCAAAGCTACTACAGCCATCTTGTGGCCACTCGGGGAAATAGATGTTGAGGAAGGCAAAGAGGAAAAAAGAAAAGCCACTGGGTCTTCAGTGTTATTGGGAGTTGCTGGATAAAGCCTTGATGGAAGCCTGCTATTTCCAGTCTTTTCAGCATGTGAACCAACACATTCCTTTAGTGTTTAAGCTAATCTGAGTTGCATTTTCAGCAATTGCAGATTTAAAATTAATACGTATTGCAACACATAAGCATATGAGTCAAGGGAAACAAATCCACTGTTTACCCCAATTCTGCTAAAGTTTTTCAAGGGCAAGGTGATCATCAGAGTAGACAGTCAGATTTTCCTATATTGGTCCAATAGGAGGGAAGAGAGAACCAAGCTAGAGAAAAACAAGCTTTAGTAACATTCCTCTAACACACACATTTCCAAGTGGAATAGAATAAGTAAAGGGCTTGGTCTTTAAATTCACAATCAAAGCCAAATACTGTTATTAATAGTAGTACTCTTGTAACACGTCTCACTGAATGTTTCATCCCCTTATATGGTGGCTCCATTGTGTGTCTTTGCAAATTCCACCTTAACCAAGTTACGGTGCGTGAGCGGAAAGGACAAACCTTCAGCTACCTTCATAGGTTAGAAAACATGACGAAAAGACCCCACTGATACTTTAGTTTCTTCAAGGGACAGTCACAAAAGATACAGGGCTCTGCCACGTCGGGTCTTATATCATCCAAGAAACTGCTCATTTTCTAAATCTTGGAAATGAAGCCAATGGGGAACGCCTTATGCTAGGAATATCCAAATTCCAAAACCAATGAGGATGGCTCTTCGACTTACTTTGAAACAGAAGTAGCCACCACAAGCCTGCCAGATATGGGAAGGAGGCAGAGAAACATCCCAGTGATCCTTTATAAAGTAGGTCTGAGGTCTCTCCCCTCGTAATCAGTGATTTTTCTTACTCTAATGAAACCCAGATGCTTCCAATAAAAAGAATGGCTGGTGTTCAAGCCATTTGCTAATTCTGCCTAGAGGTAGAGGGAAAAAAAAAGGCTATGCCCCACATCATTAATTTTAAATATCCTATTTTGTTTTATTTTCAGAATGAAATGGTATGGAACAGTGTAATGAGCAATAGAAATATGGAACCAAGAAGCAATTATATCTTCAAAGGAGCAAAATGAGAGCAAATAAAAGGGCTTGCCCAAGTTAGCATACAAACAGGCAGATCAGAACATCATTTTTAGAGTCCAAATACATGCCTTTTGGTTGTGTCTGTAAATTATCTTCCACAAACATCTTGTTCTATCACTGGAGACTCGTTTCTGGGTTATAGTAAAAATTGGATTTCTTGAGAGCCCTAAAACCCCTCAAATTCAATTTCACCAGTATTGAGTACCACTGTCTGGAGCTGTTGTGCTGCTAAGACTACATGTTGATGATGACAGCATCACAAGAAAGTCATACCTTGGAGAAGACCTGTCAAAAGAAACCCCATCTGGGGCAGCAAGATAAATAGGGCTTAATCTCTCCCTTCAAAGTGCTTGCAGTCTAGTTAAGCAGACAGGGCTGTATATAAATAATCATAATATAATGTGTGCTGGTTAACACAGAGGGGACACATTTAATTCTGCTCGAGAAGATAGAGTAAGACTTTACAGTAAGGTAGGCAGGAGTGGAAGCCATGCAGTACAAGCACAACTGGGCCAGCTAGAAGGTGTGGAGGCCAGGTCTTCAATTGTTCAGTAAGAAAGGTTCCAAGAACATCCTGTGAGTGGGTGGGAATCAGAATCCAGCTCCTGCCCTGAAGCCTGGGGCCAAGCCAAAAGAGTCTACCAATGAATTAAACTTTTAGAACCTTTCTGTTTGAAGTGACAGGAATTGGACCTATGTATGGCATCAAAAAATGGTGCTATATGTAATGGATCAAATATTGAATCTGGTGAATATACGATATATAATGGATCACAATGCTTAAGTCCTTATACAAAACCCAGTTCAGAGATGTGCATCTCAGAGGACCAGGCTGAGGCAACAATGAAATCACTCAATAGGGAAGAGAAAGCATGGAGAGAAGTTCCCATGTACAGTCAGCTTTCATACAAAAACTACAAAGCACATAATGGCATCCAAAGTAATGAGAACTGGTTGACAGATCCAACGAATAGGACGAATCACGCCGAAGAAAATAAAAATAATGGAGCAACTAGCCCAGGGGTTTAAAACAAATTTGTTTACAATTCTCAAAGAGATAAAACAAAGAAATAGCATACTTAAAAATGATAACAGGTCATTAAATTGGAAAAGGCATATATAAAAATGAACCAAAATTTTTGAAAATTAAAAATTGAGTAAAAAATTTAGTAGATGTGATAATAATAGACTAGATAAGGTAAAAGAGAATCAGTATATTGGAAAGAGAGCTAAGTAAATGTGGTAGACATTGATTAGATATTCACCCATTCCATTTCCTCTTCCTGGGCACAGAAGAAAACCATATTTCCTGGATGTCCTTGCAGTGAGATCAGGGCCATGTGATTGGGATGTGAGTGAAAGTAAAGCATGTCATTTTTAAGCCTGGCCACAAAACATCTCCTTTGTTGGAGATAATATATTAAGGCCACATGTTGATGATGACAGCATCACAAGAACAAAGCTATATCTTGGAGGAGACCTGTCGAAAGAGACCCCCAACCTGCCTCAGATTGTGACATAGGCAAGAAGTAAACCTTTGTTCTGCTTTCTGAGTTGATTTGTGGTACAGCATAGCATAGCCTATTGCTGAGTATACAATACATCACTCTGAATGCAATAAGACAAGATAAATGCAAAGAAAAGTGAAAATGAAGTTACAGAGGATAGACCGAGAAGCTCCAACTTATGTATAACTGGAGTTTCAGGTGGCGAAAAATAGTTAAAATGGAAGAGAGAAAATACCATGAGATGATAAACTGAGAACTTCCCAGAATTAAAGAATGACATAAATCCTTAGACTGAAAAAGTCACTCATTGTACTGGTTTATTTGCAGTCATAATTTTCACTACAATGTTTTTTTTTTAAATTTTGACCGAAGTTTAGAAATACACTGTAATGTTTTTCCTAACTCTTCATTCCTTCATTCTTTCTTTCATTCATCCATACAAGAAATATTTTTAAGAACCAATTATCTGTCAGATTCCTTAGGAACTGGGAGTTCACAAGCTAGAGAGAAATCAGAGAAGTGGCTGGCAATTACCACAGAGGGCATAGAATAGAGAAGGGTGGGGGTGAGGGCATCATGACATAAAATGGCATGATACATTAGAAAAGATGCTAGTCAATCAAGCAAGGTTAGAGTGAAGGAGACACAGGGGCAAGTAGCCAGAGGTAATACCAGAACACAAGTCAGGAGCCAGATTCTGAACTAATACATTTGCAGAATAGCTTGAAATCTTAGAAGGCACAGGCTTGCTGGGTGACTTTAAGAACGGTGGAAGGCATTGTGCTGTACACCAGAAATTGACTGTATGTCAATAAAAAAAAGAATGGTGGAAGATTTTCCCAAAACAAAGTCCCTGTTCCACTCACCCATCTGAATCCTAGCTTGACAGAGCCTTAGATTTTGAGTGGGACACTTCTCATTCTTCCCCCCACCATGTACAAAAGGCAGGACGCATCTCAGCCAGGTAACACCAGGGCTGTGATCCATTCCTCTTATCTGTGACATACTGCCTTCCTGACCACCTCACGACTTTTCTTTCCGTGGCTCTATGACCAGGCTTTTATTGTGGCAAGTGGGAAAAAAGGATGAAAGTGCAAAATTGAAGAAGCCCCGAAAATGGAGCAGATTATGGGGCTACAGAGGGAAGAACACCCAGGAGGCAGAAAAAGGTGTCCTCCCCAGAGGGGTGGCTGGGCCACGAGGCATAAGTGACAGGCAGGTGCTTGGGGCAGAAAACTTTGGGGAAGAAAAAGGAGGAGAGAAGAGAAAAATCTGCTGATGGAAGAATAGGAATTTTTCTGAAGAGAGAATTTTTGGAAGTCTTTCTCTCTGTGTTACAATATAACACACACGGCTGCTTCAGAACACCTTGAATACACCCATATTACTTTTCAATGATTTTGGAGTCAGATTTTTTTTTTCGTGTTAAGGTGATACTGGTGGAAGTTGGCCACAAGTTTTGCTTGGGTTCCCTATTTGTACACTGTCCCCTAATCGTGAAAGTTCCAAAGGGATAGTACCCCTACCTGTAAAAGGAACTTGTTTGAGAGAGAGTGAAGGCACGGGGAGCAGCCGCTCGGGAGCAGGAAGGTCGGAGAAGGAAGAGGACCACATGGGGTGGGGTTAACCGAGGAAGATTTCACCCACTTCTTCATTTTGACCAGATCCACTCTCGTTGTACAAATGATCACAAGTCCACAGGCCTAGGCCTTGGAGAAATTAGAGGAGACCTGAATAATATAAATTATGACCAAGAGAGAATTTGCCAAAGATGGAAACATCACCTGCAGTGCTGGGCTGCACCCAGTCTGTCGCTACCCTCAGATGCCTCCTCAGAAGGAGGGAGGGAGAGGAGCCGCGGTCCTTGGAGAAGGAGGGTCAGTTGCTTTAGAAATGGTAAGGGTTGTGGGGAACGTTGGTTTTTTGCCAAGAGGAATTCATCAGAGCAATGCCGGGCAGGAGGCCATGAGGGAAAGGCTGTTGGAGCTCATATTAAGGTGGAGGGTGTTGAGACAAAGGCCGAGCCCTCCCTTGCACAGGATGAGATTCTGTGCATGGGCAGCGGGCGTCCCTTCTCTAGAGATCGGGGCCTTTTTGTCCCTGGAAAGGTCTGACAACTTGATCTGAAGTATGGAAACTGTTCTCGCTGGAGACATTCCAGAGTCCCCTTCCGGCCATAGACAGTCTGACCGGCTGGCCGTCTCCTGTGACCATTGAGAGCAGCTGTGAGCGTGGAGGCCACCCGTGTGTGGGGGGAACAGAGTGCAGCTCCACTCAGAGTGTCTGGGCCACAAATAGGGCTCTGGGTCTTACTTCTCTCAGAGAAGGAGGGAGTTACGGATGGCCCTGTACCCGACGTGATGCTTCTTTTTATCCTCACTTATTCCTGGGCACGCTGTCAGCCAGATACTAGCAGATGACTCAGAGGCAGGGCTCTGGCCTGGTCCGAGTACCCCACTGACCCCAGAGAGCATGGAGGGTGATCACCGAAGTGTCTGCCCTCCAGGCTCTCCTCTCACGCTACACATTGCCTTCTAGAGGGATGGTCAAAGCATGATCTTAGCCCTTCTGACATACCCAGGTGCCAGGCTGCTACCTAAAAGACTCTCATAACCCCAGGTCATGTCCCCTCTGGGCCCCAAACTTTGCTGACTGGGTACCAACCTTGTCACACTAGTGCTGTCCAGTCTCCACCAAGCGCCCCGAGTCCCTGTGCCACTGCCTTCAGGCAAATAGATCCAGTCTGGACAATTCACTGCCGCAGGTAAGTACGGACAGTTCTCCTTGCAGCCACAGCAGGAAGCCCTTCCTTCCAGACAACGGTAGCCTTGACCGTCTGCCTTCCCAAACCAGTCATCCCAGGACCACCCAGCACATCAGCCCTGCTTCCTCCTAGAGGCCCTTCCTGCTTCCTTTCCAGTCGGGCCCGCTGCCACTCGCAGGGTCTGACCAGCTGACTTGGCTGAAGGTCTTGTGTTTCCTTTCCAGACATTTTTCCACAAGGACTTAAATTCACAGGCAGGACAGCCCAGCAATTAAACACGTGGGCTCCTGAATCAGACAGCCTGTATGCAGTCAGCCTTTACTCTTTACTCTGCTACCAGCGTTAAATATTATTAAGGCCACTAAGCCTTGGTTTCCCCATCTGTAAAGTAAGAAAAATAATAGTATGTAATTCAGAGAATTCTTATAAGAACTGAATGAGAAAATGCAAACCTCATACTAAAAGCAACCATTTACTTGCTGTTATTTTTTTTTTCACCATATGCTAACTCCTCAGAAGGCTCACAGCATAGTCACTAGACACTTTTGGAAGGAAAGAAGTGACTATAAATTACTAACTTCAATTCAGAATAATAAACACTCGATTCTCAATATTCACCGGTTCCGTATTAGTGGATTCACCTATTCACTAAAATTTCTTTGTAACCCTAAGACCAGTACTTACAGTGCTTTTGCGATCACTCCTGCACCGACACAGGGCAGTAAAAATTTTGAGCTGCCAACACACACATTCTTTGCTGGGGTCGAATAAGGCAGACTCTACCCTCCTGTTTCAGCAATCTTACTGTGTATAGTGTTTTTTTCATGGTCTAGTTAGTGCTGTATTTTTCACATTTTTGTGCTCTTTGTTGGTGATTTCGGTGATTAAAATGGGCCCCAAACGTGGTGTTGAAGTGCTGTCTACTGTTCTTTAAGCACAAAAAGGCTCTGATGTGCCTTATGTGGAAAATACACACAGGACACAAGCTTCATCCAAGCATGAGTTACAGAGCTGTCAGCTGAGAGCTCAACCTTAATGACTCAGCGCTGTAC